TCTGAATGTCAATCTCCAATCCTTTTTGATACACTTCATCTTCTAGCTTCTGCAAAGTCATTCTCCATTGTCTTCGTTCTGCTTCGAAATCGCGCTTAGCTAACTCTAATGGAGATGGCACCACTCTCAACTGTTCCTCCACCGGCTGAATATTTTCAGGATTCACCATCGGGATATTGTCATTTACTCGACCGCTTCTCCACTGCTCGTACTCTTGAGACAACTCGAGATCATAGGTAAACAAATTCACGCGACGAGTTTGCTTCCAGGCCTCAGCAACCCCTTTAACTTTACCCTTATACTGATCTCCTTTGAATGCAAAATCCGACCCTACCAAGTCCCATGTGGCTGGAATGAACTGCCTTGACCCATACTGTCTGGAAACTAGTAGCGGTGCATACCCAACAGAACCCCATATACCTGGCAAAGGAACCCAATCTCGCTCTCCACATCGGTAAAGTATATCCGAAGAGGTATTCCACGAAGCTCGCCACAAAATATCTCCATCCCTGATATCCTTGAAGATGACCATCCATTTTTCTTCGGTAAAACCCCCAGGCCACTCTTTAGAAAGAAAATCCTTCAAAGGTGAGAAACCGTCTAGAAATACTCGTCCTGGTGCTCTTTCAACATGTTTGAAATGACTCAGAATCCATACTAGCAGCAAAGGCGCACATCCTATAAAGCGTCATTCTCCATCGCGCCTACAAGAACTTAAAGACCGGAACGTCTCAGCTAGAATAGCTGGAACAGGATCCACGCGCTTGTCTAATCTTTCAAACATGTCAACAACTGATACGTCTACATATCCTAACACTTTTGGAAAAATAACAAGCCCATAAATCCCTAAAGCAAACAAGTCAAGCTTCTTTCTCTTATCAGGATGATGAGCAATTACTTCTTTCAGAGCAGCCCAAGAGATGCACTCACTGTCTCCCTTCTTCTTAATGTTTCTGATTACCCAATCTTCACTCATTCCGATCATCAATAGTAATTTCTTCTTAAATGAAGGAGTGACTGGCAGCTTGGTATATATTCTATCTATCTGGGACCTCGGACAACGGACCAATACTTGATACTCCTCTATTGTTGGTGTCAGGTCTACTCTACCAAATGTGAAACAGCTATAAGCCGGATTCCAGAACTGCGCCAATGCTCTAAACAGATTTCTGTCAATAGGAACATCCAGAAGATAATGAATATCGCCGTACAACTGATAAAACATCTCCTTATCGGCTGCTTCCCATCTTTCCCATATCTCCTTTAGCTCACTTAGATCATTCTGACGCACGTTGACGTGAGTATAACCGAATAACTCTGATACGTATCCAGGCATCACGCTGTCTCCATTGGTCAATTGGGACTGTTCCGACCACCTCAGAACATCTGCATTGCCCTCAACCTCTTTCTGAACCGTTCGTTCCATATTACTGGCCTTCTATATGGACATCGACCCCAAATCAACACCATGTAATGGACAATGCAATGCAAAACAGAAAAGAAACAAGGCAAAAACAACAAAAGATCGGTTAGTAAACATGAAGCAATTAAGTCAGGATAATAATTTATTCAAAAATCCTACCCACATATGCTAACTACCCAATCATGCTTTATCAGATCCTACCCAACATGATATCTACCCCCATGCTTTGTTATCCACAAAAAGAAATCCTAACCGCATGATATCTAATTCACATGCTTATTCAAAAATAAACCTAACCGCATGATACCTAGTTCGCATGCATTTATTCGAGAAAAAAAACGAAAATAAATGACTCAAAAAAAGCTTTTCCTTGTGTACCCTCCTCACGGGATTCTTAAGATTCGGGTTTGGTTCAACCTAAGTTCGGGCTCTACGTTCACTATATGCCGGGTTAGGTTCTAAAGCAATAGGTTCTCGAATTGTCCTTGCCAGTGCCCCCTTGGGCTGCCGAACCCTCAATCCTGGCCCATCACAGGCTTTAGGGGATCGAGTTCAATTTCGAGGGAACACACCTCCTTATTTCCATGCGGAGGTGATTACCATCACGAGGACCATAAGGCGTGAGCTCCAGGAGCGATCCACTATCCCATGCGGAGGTGAAAACCACACGAGGGCATAGTCTCTCACTCCTACTTAAATAGGACGGAGCGGGGTTTTAGCTCATGTTATGATAATGCAGATGTGCAGTGTGTGAAGAAAAGCGAAAAAACAATCAATAAAAACACTCAAAATCAATTTCTAAAACAAACAATTATTCTGAAATCATTAGCAAACAGATCAGTACAACTATTTAATTGTCAATCAAAAAAAATCAAAATACAAACAAAACTTATTAAAAACCAAACAAGGGATCAAAAATCAAATTAAAACGAATTTGTAATTTTCAATTGCAAAGACAATTAATTAATCGACTATCGGCTTGACTCTCTAAAAAAATTCCCCAGCGGAGTCGCCAAGCTGTCGAAACGATTTTTTCTTGACGGGTGAAAAAAGGTGAGATTTTGAAAATCACATTATTTCTTAATTGTCCCTTTTTAATTTAAAAACAAATGCGATTTAAAAACCTCTCGTTTCGAAAAATTTTGAATTTCCTTTACGATCGAAAAATACGGTTCGAAGAGTCGCCACCAATCTTTGATTAGGGTGTGATTGGACACCCAAAATTCTTTGCCATTTTAAATAAAAATAATTTAATTAAAAACAAATTGAGGTCTGCATGATCAAAATCCGAGTTCGGGAGTCGATTACGTTTGGGGAAGGATTAGCACCCCCACAACGCCCTAAATCGGTACCTAGTCGATTAATTAACGTCTTTGCAATGAACTTTACAAATTCGAATTTATTTTGATTTTTGATCTCATAAAACAAAGATATAAATTTAAAAACATTCAAAAGCACTCAAACAAATTAAATTAAAATTACCAAGTCATTTTAGAAAGATAAAGAATGTTCGATTATTTACAAATATCGAGACCAGATCTTAAAGATATAACAACCTTTTCTCGATATATTTAAATAAACGAACATTTCTTTTCTCTCGTTCCCAAATTTTAGAGTGATGGATCAATTTTTATGTTCACTTTCGGGATACACTTTTATTTTAAAATCATTAAAAGCGGACCTCAAATCAGTTATGACTGCCCACTTCAACAATTTTAAATTAAAAGGGTATTACCTTATTCCGATTATGTAATAGGTCGAGTTATGCAATAAGACTATCATGCAAATTATACCAAAATGATGTCATGTAAAGACAAAATTAACTAAAATATGCCATGCATTCAAACAAACTTCTAACTCCTATAGATCAAAAAAACAATAAAATTCATATGTATTTACGACACTAACATACATTAGAATAAAACAATATATACAATAAAACATGCTATTAATAACTCGATTTCACATTCAAAATTACCATGAAGGACCATAATAAAATAAAATTAAACTAAGCATGCAAAGTAGGAATAAACAACTAACTTAAAACAAATCTAAGAATGGACTATGTTAAAATAAATTTAAATTTAAAGAATTAATTAAAAAAAAGTCTAAATTATGACTAAATTAAATCTATGGACGAAAATAAAAATATAACATAATTACATACCAAACGTAAAAATACAAGATATTAACTTGAATAAATAATGGGGTCAAAATAGAACTTTTTAAAGTAATGAGCCAGAATCACAATCATTGCAAAATTCAATAAACACACAAAATGGACTAAAATAGAACATGCAAAACTAGAAGACCGAATATGCAAACAAGAGAAAATAAATACCCTAGCATTTAGGACTAAAATCAAATGTGCATAAAAGTTAAAGACCAAATTACAAAGCAAACAATACTCGGCTTCAGGACTAAAATGGAAATCAACAGCATACGCAGTGACCTTAAAGAAATTATCCCTAAAAATATATAAAACCTATTTTAAACTAAACCTAACCCTCATTCTTCATATTTTCTTCTTCCTCACAGCCGCAATGCTCCCTTCTTCTCCCTCTCCCTGCGCAGTTCTCACTTCTAAACTCACAAACTCACACAGCCATCTCTCGACCACTCATCTCCTTGAACCACCAACGCTCCCAACCGTTCCTCCTTCCCACTCTCTCTTCAAACGACACCTTCAAGAAACTCCAACAGTGAAGCCCAGACAATGGTAAACTCACTGCTCCCGCTCGACCCCGGAGACTAAAGACAGAACAAACACCAAACCTAAGGTAAAACGACCCTCTTCCCTCTTCTATTTTGTTCTCTTGTAGTTTATTTTATTAATGTATGTTCTGAAATTTCTAACTGTTTTCAAAATAAAGACATACATATATTAAACTGGAAATCGAAATAAGGATGGAAAATACCAAAAAAAACTGCTCCTTGCTTTCAATTGCTTCTTGGATTTCAATACAATGTGAGTGAAACTCTAATTGCAATGGATGTTTTTTTCGAAGAGTTCTGTTCACTGTGGTTGATGAACGCTTTTTGTTTTTAATTGTTGCTTGAATCCTCTGTTGGAATTGCTCTCTGGTTACTGCTGATGATCTCTGCTCACCTCCTCCTTGGTTAATTTTTTTTTGCCCTCTCTTTCTGTTCTTTTCTTTTTTTCTGAATGGCCCCCCCGTATGCTTCTTTTTTTCCTTATAATCCTCTGTTCTGTTCCCGTGAAGTCTCCCCTTTCTGATGGTTTCCAGTAGTTAAAAAAAAAAAACTGACCTCCCCTGTTCTTTTTTTGCGTGTCCCACGTTTCTGGTAGTTAATTGAAAACTGATACTTTACGGTTTTCTTGACTGCTCAACATATCTCTCTCTATTGCTAACGGTTCCCTCACGCTTGTGCTGCCTTGGTTATTATCTTTGTTTGCAGTCCTTTCATTTTCAGTTGGCAAACCGTTCATGCAGAGGCTGGGAAACATTGTTGCTGGAAGCTGAGCTCGGTTCCTAGTTGTTGGGCTGCCAGTTTAGTTTTGATCTCCCACCAATTGAGCACTTTGAGTTGGACCGGACAAATCAAGCATCTACAAGACCTTTTGATATGCGTTATATAAGAGGTATGGGAAACTGATTTTCCTTTTGTCTTTCTAATTATTCAATCTATCATTCTGGGTTAATTTTTTTGATTATTTAATTGTGGAATGCTATGAATAATGAGTAGCTTGTCAGAATTTAAACTTCACCAATAAATGCACATGAGAATCGGTCGCTGTTTCTGTTTTTGATTCGCCCCCGGTCTATGAATTTCGATTTTAATAATATATTATTCTGTTCTTTTATGTCTATTAATGATGAAAGCAATTAGAAATTTTCCTAGTCAAGTTTTATTGTCAGTTTAACTTACACTGAAATAAATATATTAAAAACTCAATGAATTATGTTTCACACTGTTTCAAACTAATTTGCCTGGTCCGCAGCTGAAACATTGTTACAAGTATTCTTTGAGTTTTTCCTTTTTAAACTAACAATGGAATTTGACCTGGAAAAATCCAATTGCTTTCTCATTATAATATTTCTCTGCCATGGTGACTTTTTTTTAAGGGCTGTCAAATGATTATTAGATGCTTTGCTTTTTATGGAAAGCTACTTCATCATTATAATATTTTCTCTGCCATGGTGACATGGAAAATGTTATATTTTGTGCAGTGCTGAGGTTAAAAAAATGGCAATGAATTAGATTCTATGTATATTGTTTAAATCATTTTATTTTGAAGTGTCTCACTGGGTTACTACTTGCCTTGTATCAGTTGATTTACCCCCATGGTTCTCTTCAATGTCGATAGCATTGAAGTCAAGTGTCAATCTTGTAAGTATGGTTGTCCAAGTTAATTAGTCTTTTACTTTTATCAGGTTTCTGTTTTATTTTTTTCTGGCTATGCTGAATTGCTGATTCTGAATTCTTTTGTTTGTTCATAATACATTTCTACTCTTTATTGAGACAAATCATGGAAAAAATCACATTTCTAATCACTGATTTCTTTAGTCTAAACTTGTTTTAGTTTCCCCACTCCTCTTGCTCATCTCTTTGCCGATGCTTCAAAAATGCTTCCAGGATATTAACAGCATTGAAAAAATTCGTAAAATGTGCTGCCGATTATGTGCTTCAGATATGGCAGCCTCCCATTACCATTTCAATGGAAGGTATCCTGCAAGCAAACATCAAATACAATGAGTTGACGAATGAGCAGGTTGCTTTCATTATCAAATGTATTTTATATTGAAGAAATGTCATCCCTTATGTTCTTAAAAATCTTGTTGTGTCATGTAGTTTGTTCAACTGAATTATTAGGTGAGTATTACTACATCATCCATTTGGCAATTTTTAACCCACAATCAGGGGTGGGGGGGTAAAATGTTTAATTTGGAACATAGGTTATTCCCATCCTATTTTCTTTTATATTATTATTAGAAATTCAACTGTAGGCATTATAACTTGAAGTTTGCTGTTCAGATATCTGCCGGGGTTTTGTATTTGGTCTTTTCAATGGGTTTGGGCCTTCAAGAACACAATTGAAGATGGTAAATGACTAGCTCCATTATTTGTACCTTATTCATCACTTGATCTATTGTGTTATTGGCTTCATAGTTGCGTCTACTACTTGTAATCAGTTCTCCCCTCATCTGGTTAAGCATTTTACCGTCGATTATATATATGTGATGTGTAATTCACTTCTGAATAAAATAACCATGTTCATAGATGGATATTCTGATTTTAAGATCTCAACAATTGAAACTTGTTAGTTGGTTTCTATAAAGACATATCTAGACCAGCTTTTGATCCCATATAACAAAGTTTCTTCTCAAAATGTATTTCTCGCTTGCATTTAGGCTTGTGGAAATCTTATGAAAATCAAAACCCTGTTTGAGAATTTGCTTTTGTTCCTATTCATCTCATTGTTGTTCTTCACTGTCAATTTATCCTCTTCTAGGAGAGTTTCAAGATGTTTGTACCATATGTTTAACAAAGAAATTGAATTTACGGCTATGCTCTGGATTGCAGATAGTTCGGAGCCCTGCTTACTCTTTTTGCAGCCATATAAGCGTGGAAGGATGTACCACCTCATTAATGCAAGGACAGTACTGCAACCAAACTATTGAAATCTTGTGGTCGATCTGGTAACGGTTCAAGAAGTGGTTCAGTACCTGGCTTCAATCAAGCATGGTTACATGCAGGAACAATTTTGAGACCTCTTGCCTCGGGGATGGAGAAATGAAAATCTACGCCATAGAGAGACCACAGTTAGCCGAATCCTTAACACTTTCAATACAAAATCCAAGGCCCCTGAACAGTACTGAGAATAGTAGCAGAGTTGACTTAATGTGCTTTGCTCGTTTTGGTGCAATGGCGTCAGCTACCCTACACGACTATTCTGGTAACTTAAACCATCCCCTCTGGTTATTCGCTTCCCAAAGGTTGGTCTCTGGTTTTTCTATTCTAGCCCTTATCTTTCAATGGAAGTTGGAGGGCTCCCAGTAATGTTTCAAATGTTTGCTATTCCCTGGAACTGCAAGAGCTTGAATGTCCTTCGGGAAAGGCTGGACCAAACTGTTCATCCGAAAGATACATGCTTCAGGTGGGCATTGTTAACATATATTTATCTTATGTATCACTTCTTTACAGGTTTATCTTAGTATCATTCTTTACAGGTTTCTTCGATTTTTATTTTTTTCATTATGCTTGGTGTTTGTCAGTAAGTTTTTAGTTCTATATTCTGATCCTATTAGATAATATCTGCCTATTTGAAATTAAGTGCCTTAGATAATATGTAGCCATACACTTCCTTTAGTTGTGAGATAATATGTAGCAATATAAGTTTACACATTAATAATAATTTCTTTACAGGTTTTAACATATTCGCATATTTTTGTTGTAGTTATGTTATTTTTTATCAAATTGTTTTAATTAATTTCCATATTTTCATGATATTTTAGTTCCTTTTTAACTTATGTTTGCATCTCTCTTTCCTTCTATTGATGCTTGAAGAAACTCATTCGCAGGATTATTTATTGACGATCTGAGAATGGTTGTCTGCAGACGGTTGCAGGAAATATTCTGCCCCTTATGAATCCTATTATTTGCCAGATGGTGAGAACCAGATGTCAGATGCTACCGATTTTCAGCTCGAGCCCCTTTTAAGCAACTACTCAGTTGGAGGACTAGATACTTGGACATATTTTCTTCTAAATGTTCCTCCAGGTGCAGCTGGTGGAAATCTCCATGCCCGGCTAATGTCAGATAGAAGGATAATACGAAATATATGTTAGAAATGGTGGATTGCCATCACTTGTGAACTGGGACTATTATTATGTACATGAGAAAAACAATAGTAACTCCATGTTTTTTGAATTATACAATTCAAGTGATAAAAAGGTCGAATTTTACATCTTATGTTAGAGAAGGAATCTGGACTATTGCATTAAGGCATCTAAACGGAACTGTGGCATTTCGATGGCTGGATACTATGTCTATTTCACTTGAAGATGCCCAAAAAGATGCTCCCATCATGGTGATTGCAATTCTGCTCTTGATGTGGACTTCATACAGGTATTACATTTTTCTGTCATCTTTTTTTTTTCTACACACGCACATATTTCTAATTTCCCATTTTTATAAATATTTGTTTCTCAGCTTTTGCACTTGTGATCGGAACCATGGAGGTTTTGACTGTAGCATGAGATTGTATCATATCAGGTAAATGCCTTTTAGGAGTTGAATGCATATAGATGCCATTCCTGCCACATGTTTCATCAACATTATTGTTTATGGTTTCAATGTTGTTATTTATTATAAATATCCTAGGAGTTATTTTAGTTGCAGGCATGATTAATATTACTTTGGATTTTCTAGATTATTGGTTGTAATAAAAATTATTATTTTGTTATTCATCATCTCCTTCCTTCGAAATTTTGCTTCTATCACATCTGCTTGGAAACTGATGCAGGGCACGTATGGCGATCTATTGCTCTAATCACATCTAATATAGCCGCTTTGCTTCCTTCTTTCTGGTCTCTCCACCAGAGGGTAAAGCTCCATTTTTTTCATGGATTCACTTGAAGATGTTTCTGAATGATAGCAAAGGGTGCTAACCTTTTGTGATGAAAAATCAGAGGTTCCTCTAAATTTTCCAACCATGTCAATGTCAGACCTAACCATCAATCATGATTCTGTATTTAGTTAAAAGAAACTTAATTCCTCGTTTATATGTAGGCATTTGCAGAATGGGTGATCTACACATCGAGTGGAATAGCAAGTGCTTTATATCATGCATGTGATTCGGGTACCTGGTGTGCATTCTCCTTTGGTGTTTGCAGGTATATGTTGATTTATTTTCTAAAAAGGGTGACGTTATTGGCAATCAAAAAACTTGGAAAAATCATATTGGAATCCATATGCAAAACAAAAATCCAACTTATATAACACGTAGCACCTCTATTTGTCTTTCGTTGTCGCTACAGTTCTGTTATCCTATTTCCCGTTACAAGTTTGAACTAATATGACTAGTAATTTCGGAAATGTTTCAGTTATGGACTTTTGGCTCTCTTTCATGGCTGTAGTGACCACCTTTGTATACCTCACAACAATTGATGAAACCCTTAAAAGGGCAATCCACTCAGCTGCAGCTATCATTACTTCCCTGATGGCTGTAACAAAGGCAACCAGGTATAGGATCTGGCGACATTTATGTTAATCTCAATTTATGACCCTGTTCTAGCAGCTACGGAAGGTATTTGACCAAACTAAGCTGTGCAGCACATTCAGTATTATCCTCGTGCTGGCAATCGGGGCAATTGGTCTTCTTCTTGGGTGGTTGATAGAGTTCTCTACCAAATATAGACCGCTTTCCTATTCAATGAGTTTATGTTTGAACAGGCTCGAAAGGTGAGTTTCTTTTCTGTACCATCATGATTCATGAAGTACTCAGGGTTTTGTATGGCAGTGCATAAACCGCCTTTAGTACAGTAAGAATCGAACTTTTTTGTCGTTTTATTTTTTATTTTGCTATGCCTCGGCCTGGTCAAGGGACTGTTACTGTTATCGGGATTTAGCATCTAGTATTTAAGTTCAAGATTTCACCTGAAAGCTTCTAAGATACACAGGAAGCAATGCTTTGTCATTAGAGAAACATGACCCCCTAGAAGCACATCCTGTTAGATATATTGCAGATTCACGCAAAGATAATGCATTATTTAGATGAATTGTTAAACTTGCTCTTCTAAGAAATCTATGTAATTTTAACTGTAGATGGCCGAGGAGAGAATGGCCGCTGAATATTGTGAACACCGTAAAGAAACAATCGTTTGGATTTCATGTTCGCTGGTTTTATTGGATTAGCCATGGCGGTACTAAGCTGGAACCTCGAAAGCATTGAAACTTACTGGATTTGGCACAGGTTGGAATTCTTTCCCTTTTCTGTATATAAAATTGTTTTCATCTCTCTGACTCTCGCTCTCTCGCATTCGATTGTAAATTTTCGTGCAGTATTTGGCATCTCACCATATATTCGTGTTCTTTCTTTCTTCGTTCGCTCAAAAGTAACCACCATAAATAGCAAATACGAAACACCGACCAACAGAAACTACCAGTTAACTCGTCAGGTTCTTGCTCTCGAGGTGCATAGGAAGAGGCAAGAATTCTCATAGAATTGAAGTTCAAATGAGAATGAAATAAGTTCTTTTCTAGACATGTAGGGTAGCATCTTCATCTTCCAAGATTATATTCTCTTTTGTAAATAATGTATACCCCAACAGGTAGGGTGAAGAGCTGTGACCTTTTTAGACTTTAGAGAAAGCAGATCAAAATGAACAGATGCAGGTATTTCCATTTTCCATCATGTAATTGTAAACAGTATTTGGGCTATTTTCAATAATTTTCATGATTATTTTTTATTTGTCAATATGATATATTCGGTACTCTAGATGGAGGGGTATATCTTCTAAATATATAAAAATAATAAAATATATACAAATATTAGGTACACCGTTTTAAATAAATCAAAATTCCCTTGAAGGCCTATGAAATCATTTCTGTTTTCTTCACTAGACAATTTTTATGTAACATTAAAAAAGCACTGATACAAGCAGACAACAGGACTTGTACAAGGCTCTCTGCAAATCATACCTGGGTTTAT